TCCTGCTGGCACGCGCCTATTCACAAATCTCTCAAAGATTCACCGAGATCCACAAGTGTGGTCGGACCCTGATGAGTTTCAACCAGAGAGGTTTCTGACTACTCACAAGGATTGTGATTTTCGAGGCCAACATTTTGAGTTGATTCCATTTGGTAGCGGAAGAAGAATGTGCCCTGGAGTCTCGTTTGCCCTTCAAGTCTTGAACCTTGCACTTGCTACTTTGCTCCATGGGTTCGACATAGAGACTCTGGATGATGCACCGATTGATATGACTGAAACCGGTGGAATAACCAACGTCAAAGCCACACCTCTAAAAGCCCTTCTCACTCCTCGTCTTTCTCCTGGCTTGTATGATCTGCAATAAATATGGAGAACCGCGTCCTTCCCTGGATTCTGCTGCATCTAAATCCTTAATATATATTCGAGCGTGCAAATTAATGTAACCTCTCTATATAAATAAAAATCATTAGCACTCATCCATTCGTCCTTGTATCTGCTCTCTTCCATATCATTCCGTCACTCGTAATAATTGACAGCCCTAGGAGAAAAAAGAAAAAACTCCAAATAGCTTATTGACAGCCGTAAAATATTCAACTCTGAATTCAAATTTCCATCTTATAAATAAAATATCATATATAATATATCACTTAGGCAGCTAAAGTCCCTAAAAAAATTAAAGAAGCTTTGTCGTTCCATAATTATTATTTTTTTAAATTAAAAACCTGTTTTTTGATTGATTTTTAATTTAAAACACAGAAAATATTTTAAGAATAGTAGTAGACCTATCCATAATATTGAAAAGACCAAAATCAATTTAAAACACAAAATTTATCCTAACTCAAACATATTTTTTTATAAATTTTAAAGTTGAAAAAATATTTAAAATGAACTTCACTTATTAAATAAAATCAATTAACATAAATATTATTTTTTTATAGTCTAAATTCGTGCCAACATATTTTTTTCTTTCTATGTATCATCGGAATCTAACATCCTTTACCTCTTCTCTTTTAAATCAGAGGATAAAAGATAATAAAAATATATTTTTATGCTAAACTTATATTAAAAAAATATTGAGATACATGATATGTATAATTTTTAAAATATGAGAACTAAATTAATTTTTTATATATTAACTTTGAAACCATCGCTTGCTTATAGTGTATTTTCTACTTTATTTATTTATTTTTTAATTTTATTTTTAGTTAATAAATTTAACTCCATTTTTCTTAAATTTGTCTTAGAAAATATGTAATTGCATGAAAAACAATACGAGGATTAAATTAAAAAAAAATATTTATAAATTTACTTATTCATAATAAAATATGAAAAAAAATGGAAATTGCTAGCTGTGGAAAGCATATGCATTTTAATTTCTTACTTAATGATCGGTCACAGTCAACGAAGACAAATCACAATGTATGATTGTGAAAAAACAATGTATGTTTTTATTATATTTTGAGTGGTTTTTAAACTTACTCTCGGCATTAACTCGTTTAACATTCTTCCGGTGGTTGTTCTGTAAAATATATTTTTTTTAGTTTTTAAATTTTATTTTTATATAACATTTCAAAATGATATCATAACGTACAAAAATTAATTTGAAATAATTTTTTTTATTTTTAAATTATTTTGGTACATGCATATTAAAAATAAATTTTTAAAAATAAAAAAATACTATTATATTTAAAGGCCCTCCATCTCATGCATTTGTCACAAGCAGACAGCTGGCACCACGCAGACGAGTGATGGTTTGCTTAATCGATTTGTTCAGAGCTGCTGAAGACTGTCGTGTAGTGATGGTACGAAGAATCTAGCTAGAAATCTCTCTCTTTCACTCGACAATTTCAATCGATCTTATCACCACCACGTACACACGTGCGAGCAAAGACCAGAGGGGAAAGAGAGGACGAGGTGGTGGCACCGCCCTACCACTTCAAGGATTGCTAACTCTTCTCTTTCCAAGGATACAGTGATGGGCTCTCTCCCTCTCTCTCTCTCTCGATTAATTTTAAGATCTTCCACGAAGTATTTTTTTCATTTATTTAAATATTAAAATCTTCAATGAGAACACAGGGAAGGAGGGGCGGTGTGTAATTGATTATCAACCAAGATATCTCTCCTTCTTTTTCCTTGGATTATTTATTACAGTATCTTATCCGTTGTGATTGTTCTCCGCTAATCTTACTTAAAATCCTTGTTGCATGATTTAGCTGGATGACGACGAGCATGGACGAGGTATCATCCCAGCAGATGGCGTGCAAAAGCAAGAGCTTTTTCTTCTTTCTTGATAAAAAGCAAGAACGATTGTATTTTAAGGATCCTTTCGTTGCTTTCCCATTGATCCAACATGTCATCATGCTTCAAGGCGAAGACACCACCAGTAATACACAGTGACTAGAAAAGAAGACAGTAAAAAAAAGTCGTTTCAATAAATCACTAGCTTCCTCTCCTCTTCTTCTGTTTTTTGCATTATTTAACAACTAAATGCTCACGTGTCTATGAAATTGTTGAAAATATAACTCAAAGTTCCATTAAAAATCCATTCAATGCTCAATATTTAATCCCCGGTTTCAAGGAGACCTTATAAAGTGCTAATAATTGGAAGAAAGAACGCGGTGGGTGAAATTTAAACTTGTATTTATTTAATTATCAAAATTATGATACTATATACAAAAAATATTTTATTTAAAAATTTAAATAGGATTTAAAACTTGTATAATTGCATAATATTTTATACTATTAATTATATTTTAATTGGAAAAGAGAATGAGTTTAGTTAAATTTGAATTTGTGATCGTTTAATGATTAAAAATCTAATATCATAAAAAACAAATTCAATTTAATAATTTAAGTTATTATGTGGAGTTTCAAAAATAATTTTATATTACTCGTTAACAAACTTATTCAAGTAAAAGCTTGTTAGGTTTAAAACTAAAACAAGCCCATACTATTTTATATTTAATTTTTATTAATTAAAATAAAAATAATAAAATTTAAAGTTATAAGTATTTCATTATCAAAGTTTCTTTTCAAAAAGAAAACGCATGGCAACCTCGTATAATCATATCAAGTGAGAACATTTGTGGACGCTTACATGTAACATTTCCAACTTTGCAGGATCTACAAGACCTGATGCAGGAAATTAAGGAAAGGCCACTTATATGTTCATATGTTGGCAAAACTAAGCTCACATTTTAAGAGAACAATTACAATGCATGATAACTCGAGCATTAATAGCACTACCTCTGTAGAAAAGCATAACTAGAAAGAAGGCAAAATGAGTCAAGACCAGCTGATAACTAGAAAATTGATGCTACAATGATGGAGCACCAAGATACGAGGCCTGTTTCAATATGTCGCTGAATATTTCACCAGCTATTACTTGAGCCCGAGCGCCAGGCCCTTGGACAAATATCAGAGGCTGTTCTTTATACCTTGTAGTTGTGAAATGTAATTAAAATCTAATTAATAATATAACATAGAGTAAGATAGGTTGTGTATATAAATATTAAGTTTAAAATATTTTTATTTTAAAAAATATATTAAAAATAATATAAAATATATTATAGAAAAATAAAATTTATATTATTCTTTAACAGTATTTTATAAT